ATTTCTGAATTTACAGTACACTAATTTCAAGTTAGTCTGCTATTGAAGAAAAATAAAAGTTTTTTTCATGTTTTAGTATAGTCACACCAGAAAACATCACAGTTAAAAGGGATTGTTTTTCACACATTAGAAGGTGAATCAATAACAAATTTAGGTCAGTCGTAGTAAAAGTGCTAAAACTTTACGAAGTTGTATATAGCAATGCATGTGGTCTCTGGTGTGTGGCTGAATTACAAAGAAATTACAGCTTGAGAGGGACTTTATAGTGAGAGAGGAGCTACCATTCACTACTATACTTTAAAATTTGTAACCTTCATAGTACATGTATTATACATAAGGTCATAATGTCTTGTGTGAAATTTCACTGATAATTGAACACCTTCCAATTTTTAAAGTAAAGATGACCTAGGGTTGACTTGGTTTGTTGGTATTACATTTCACAGTGTTTTGATGATACTTATAAGGTTTTATAATAATTGGCAAGTTTTGACAAAGGATTATGTATTTATTTACAGTGTTATGGAGAATATAAAAATATGATGAATTGGATATCACATTTTTTAATCTGATTTATTATGATGGCTGCAGGGTTATGCCAAGTTTATACATTGTAAATCATACTTGAACTTTTAAACCTGTATCCATGGTGCTCTCTTCTTATTTTATACACTAGTCTACGTTTTTAATTACCATTATTTTCATGGATGATGGCTTCATACAGCTGAATGCATCATTTTCAAGTTTGACCATATATAGCAATTTATCAATGTCCTGCATAAAGATAGTTTCTATAAATATTGGAGAAAAAAAACACATTCAAACTTCAATGAAAAATTGTCGGTTGCTATTAACTTTCTTGGCTGAATGGCTACATAGGTATTAATTTATGTCTAGAAAGTGTGAGATAGAAATTTGTGATAATGGCTGGATGCAATTTCAGTCCAGACTGTTCTAATGACACAAATGTACAATGTTAACTTTTTAACAACTGCATGTTGCTTGTAATTAGTGGTTCATTTTGTGTAGGGTTTAAATTCATGATTTCATGTACCACATATATATGTGAGGTTTTACTTCTACTCATTCTGATCTTCCTGAATGATCAAATTTATGCAAGGGAATATTTAAATGATTTTATCTTAATTACCAAATTACGAAAATTGAATTCTTGGTTTATTGACAGTATGTAGGGAATGAAGTCCATTTCATTTTGCTCCATTTGCTTTATTTTCTGTAAATTTGGTTAAAAATTTGTCTACCACTTGCTCCTTTGTAAATAAGTGGGTAAGAAAATATATCTACAGCTTTCTCGAAGCCTCTATTGTTGGGTTTGAAACTATTCCACCACTCTCTATTGTAAATTGACTATGTACCGAGTTCAGGTATTTCTAATACCAGCTCCGTTATCAGTAAGATAGGAAGCCAAATCTTTTATGCCCCACCTAGGGGCATTATGTTTTTCGGTTTGTGCATCCGTTCGTCCGTCCGTCCGTCTGTCCCGCTTCAGGTTAAAATTTTTGGTTAAAGTTTTGGGTCAAGGTAGTTTTTAAAGCAATTGCTTTCATGTTATGGCGTATGGCCATCTATGTGACCCAGATCATTCCAAATTTTTTTTTTAGCAGATTCCTGGTCCGTCATTCTTTAACTCCTATGTATGTTTTCTAATGCAGTACATTGATTGAAACTGTTAAAAAACATAAGTGGATTTGAGAAGTTTAAACATATGTTCTCCCCAATTTCACGGTCTACTGAACATAGAAAATGAAAGTGTGAGTGGGGCATCCATGTACTATGGACACATTCTTGTTTCACCTAATCTATTGTCATTATGATGAGAGAGTATTTCCATTACTCTACTTACAGTCTAGTCAGAAGCAGGCATTTCTGTGATGTGCTGCATTGGGAGTCTATTTAGTTACTTGGTTCTTTTCATTATCACATACCTGCCAACTTTTCAAAATCTCCATAGGGGATTTTATGCAAAAGAGGACCTAATGCATGTCCATACATGTCATTCATGTACTTAATTGGAACATTTATGGTTTTGAACGAGTATACATGTGTTTAAATGTATTTTTACTCTTCTGAATGCCTTTTTAAAACTGTTTAGTCTAAATGAGTTTTATAAGGGTCAGGTCAACACCTCTCATAGGGGATATCCCCCATAAAGGGGGAATGTAGGCAGGTCTGTTATCAGCATGTCTGGTAGAAGGTATTTTAAATTCCAGCTCAGTTTTATGTATGTTGAAAAGCAAGTATTTCTACCAACTTTTTCATTATCACTTTGCTGAATTTATTTAAAATTGTTTCTGATGCCTATTTAACTTTCTGTATGCTAAAGAAAAGAGTTATGCATATAATAGATGCTTTATGGTGGGAAGCAGGTTACTGATATATTTTAACCGCATTTTTCTTTTTCAAGCATGTCATGTTTACAATGTTGAGTTGTACTGTGTATGCCATATTCAGATCTGATGGGCAGTGTATGCCATATTCAGATCTGATGGGCAGTGTATGCCATATTCAGATCTGATGGGCAGTGTATGCCATATTCAGATCTGATGGGCAGTGTATGCCATATTCAGATCTGATGGGCAATCACTTTCTGTTTGACAATACTTTCAAATTTTTATTGTGACTACTAATTTTTCCTTACCAATGACTTAGCTTTATAAAGCCAATGTATACACCACTTCCCCTTTTATCTTTATTTATTACAAGTATATGTTTACTGTACTTTGTCTGGTTTCATATTAAGCAATGGACAGAACTATCTTCAAATATACTAGAAATGTGATGAATGAACCTTAATATACTAGGAAGCTTTTATAATCAAAGGAGGAGATATACCACTCTGACACTGCTGTTTTTCATGTATACCTTAAGCTTATTAGTATAAAATTTCTTATTATCTTCCTAAGTGTGAACTTTCCATTTCTATGTAGCAACATTCCAGCAGCGCCTGCATACGTGAGATTATGTATCTCCCAGTTGATACGATATTCCACGGCTTGTATTTCCTATCATGATTTCTTTGATAGAGGGTTGCTGCTCACAAAGGAATATCTGTTTCACAGATGACGACGGATATGTTCCAGTTGTTGTAACTATAATCCCGTCCCCTTTTCCCAGAACATGACCTACCGAATTAGACTTATCACCGTGTTTGTACTTACATGAGCAACATGACGGGTGCCACATGTGGAGAAAGATCTGCATACGCTTCCTAAGCACCTGAGACCACTCCCAGTTTTTGGTGGGACTCCTGTTACTCTGTGTCTTTTTCTATTATATATTCTATTATTATTGTCGGTTTGTTTTCGACTGATGAGTTTGAATGTCCCTTTGGTATCTTTTGCCTCTCTTTTAATGCAGAACATAACTCTTGCGTATTGTAATTACAGTGACATGAAATTTATGATCATACACTTTTGTATGAAATGTACTCTAAATCTGGTTGAAGATGAACAACATTTTATTACTAGTTGTCCAGCATACAATAATGATAGGGAGATATTTTTCAAGGAGATAAACTGTATCTGTCCCAATTTTATATATCTTTCAAATGAGGCAAAATTTGTTTGGTTATTTACTAATGAAAATTTGTCTATACTTAAATATTTAGGGAGCTATATTATTACATGTCTAGATGTTAGACGAAATGTTAATTAATGTATGTAATAACAATGATAATTGTAATGATTTTATAGTTCTGATCCTGCCTGGAATTAAATGTATGTGATTTTTATAGAATGAAGATAATAACATCTGTCTGAACTTTTTAATGTTTCATTTTAATATATAAAAAAAATTTTCTGTTACAAATCATGATGTATTGTTTTATGTGTACATGTTATGCTGCCCATCAAGGGCCCTTGATTGGAATAATAAATATTCTTATTCTTATTCTTATTCTTATGCAAACATATTTTCTATTGAGATATGCTTGTTTTATTATTTTGATAGAAATAAAAGTACAATTTCAAATAAGCAAATTATTATCATCAAAATTCATAAATTTATTGAATGCAAATGAGACTTTTAATGTCTTCTGATATGAAATTTCTGGATTTTTTAGCAACATTAACTTTGCAAGAATGATGCGTAATAGCTTTAAACTGAGAATGTCTGTGCATCTAATAATCAATACACCAATGTTACAGTGCCAAAAAAATAAGTAATTACATAATACAAATTATATAACAGAGTGATTTATATTGTCATTTAGTGTGTATGTGTCAGGAGTTTTTGTCATCTTGACTAGAAATTTTGGGACATATTTTTGTTGTGTTTATATACTCTTGTTGTAGTAGTCATTACTGTGTCATTAAATTCATTAAATTTCATAGTTAGGCCAAAATAAAAACCATTTGTTATTTTCACTATTATGTGTCAAACATATTGCACCATTCAATTTTGGGAACTACCAGTATATTCCTTTAAATTAACCCTGCAACAAAAAGAACAAGAAAAACAATGGCACCCATAACATACAAAAGATACAGTTTTTGACTTCCATTTAACTAACTGTAATAACCAGTTAGTTATTTTTCTCAGCCAATTGTTTTATCAAAAATCTTTACCAAGGCATTTCAAAAATAAAAACTGCTGCTATTAACAACCTCATTTAATATTGCACTGCAACAATAAGCAAAATCTATTATCAAATGTTTCAAGCTATTCCAATTTTTTTATTTATTGAGAAAATATGTGTTCTGTTAAAGGTTTAATTTCATAATCTTATTTATTCTATCAATAAGCTATTGTTGTTCTATGTATATATTCTTTTAAAAATCATTTTCCCACAAAAAAATGCAAAACCCAATGCAAGAATTGCATGTATCATGATACAAATTCAATTAACAGTGCAGTATCGATTGACGTCTTAGTTGTATAGCCCTAAATTGCATTATTTATGCTAGAAAATCAATTTTAATTGCATATTGAAGAGTTTATGAATAATTCAATTACATATAAAGTGCTGTTTCTACTTTTAACAGAAGGATCAAGAAGAACTTTTGAACCAATCTCCCAGACTTCGTCTCATCAATGACTATGCCCAGCAGCTGGTGGAACGCCACCCTGGGTTCAAAGAGGAGGTTACCCCATGCCTTCAGCACCTTCACCAGCAGTGGAAGGTGGTAGAGGAAGCTGTATCATGTAAAGATATAAGTAGAAACACCGATTGCATGATAGCAGGTAATAACGATCTATTGATGTCTCTGTACAATTACATAGATTGTTTACGATTACACAATCAATATGTGTAGCGCTAATATTACACAATTAAGTCTCTCCCATTGTGGGATAGATTCCTGGTTTCAAATGATTGATAATTGGCGATGAAATAATAACAATTAATATGTGATTTCATATTATCAAGATCAAGTGCATACAAGAAATCAATTTTGCTCTTCCTTTTAAAGTGTAGATGAATCTGTTGCATACAGATATATTACTCTGATGAACATCATGAAGTACTTTAGGGCTCTGTAGTTCTTTCCAGTTTTCATAATAACAGGCTACTTTGATAAAGCTGTTTTGTACTTGCTGAACACATGATTGTGCGACCCAGCTTTTAAAGTTGTTGTGACATTTTTTTGTTAGCCCCAATTTTTTGCATCTTTAACCGCTATTCAGCTTTGAAATATTTAGCAAATTTTTTTTCAATGTTTGTAGGAATTATGATAGAAATTAAAGCACTTCATCCTTTAACAATTTTAATTAAAGGTCTATTTCCTCCATGATACAGTACTAGGTTTTGAATTAAATTGAATTTTGTTTTATTCAGTCTAAAATAAAAATGATGAAAATACTCCTGTATATTCATTATTAATTGTAGGATATCAGTTTTCGTGGGTATATGTTAAGTTCATAAGCCACATATTTATAAGTATAAACAAGGTAAAAATTTTCTACAGGCATGTAGGCTGACTTTGGCAAAACTACTATTTCAAATATCCATGAAAAATACAATTTTACCTTAATACACTAAAATTGGTACCAATGAAAAAAATAAACGAATCCACAGTAAATAATAGCTAGGCCCTCATTAGTGAAGAAGAGAAAATTTTAAACCTTTGTCGCTTTTTTTCAGACATGCAACAGGATCTAAAATCATTGGCTCAATGGCTTGATGAAGTTGAACAAAAGTTATTTTCGCTGACACTCCACTCAAATACCAATGATGAGGAAGTTCTACATTTACTGCAAGTTCATCAGGTAAGTTAGGATGTATGGGCAAAGGGAGGTAATTGGAATTTAATGTAAAGGGAATTAACCCATATGATCCTATCTTTGGGATGCCAGTCACCAAATTAGGCATCCAATTCACGATTATGTTAAATCAGTGAATAATAGAAAAATATAAAAAAAAATCAAAAATCAAAAATCAAATCAAATCTTCATAGAATGGATATGATACTCTCCCTGTTTTATATTTAGTACTATAAAATAGAAATAATACTTTTCTATCAATCATTGCCAAATAAGAAGAATAATTCAATTTCCAATATTGCACTAAAACTTTACCATTTAACAACCAGAGTAACTTTAAAGTTTCCCACATGCTTATTTGATTCATTATATTTCACATTAAAATGCCAGATTCTGATTGGCTAATACGAGGGAGATAATTTACTCTATCCCATGGCTCAGCAGGAGACAATTTTTTTAATGTCACCCTCCCTTGCAGACCAATAAAACTCCATGATTTAAAGGAAAATGAATTGAATTTACATCAATAATTTTAAAGACAATGCTCAAGTTCTACGTTTTATCCTCAGAACTTTTTTCATAGAGTGTCAAATTAATAGATACATCTTGCTTTAATTTTGTTGTTTTCTGATAACTGTAACGTTGTTGTGTACATGACGTCATAGTTAATTACTTTTAATTTAAAGTTTAAAATACAATAATGACAGAACATTCAGTATAATAAATTAAATGACACATAGCTTAGAGGGTGATAGAACTTAATGTTACCCCTCGAATAAAGATTGTCAACCTTGGCTTTGCCTTGGTTGACAATGTTTTCCCAGGCTAACAATCTGCTCTATCACCCTCTCAGCTATGTAATATTAATATACAGTCCCACGTTGCTACACAAGATTTCGATGTTTACTTAGCTGTAGTTGTAGCTGCCTTGTTAGCATTACAAAAATTAAAAGAATAAATCCTGGTGAAAACGAATATTATGCTTGTGAAAAAAATAAGATGAAAGATTGTTTCACAAATGCAAAGGGTTCATTATGGCAACATGGAAGATTCCAAAGATTTTCTTATTATGAGATATTTAGTCTAGAAAAAATGTCACTACAGTACTTTACCAAAAAATTACTGACAGAAGTGTTATAATCAAACGATAAATTCTGTCTTTTGATTACTACATGTTATTATCCAGTGAAAAAGAATGTTTTACCTTTTCAGATCATATTTTACTGATCTTTTGCTTTGTCCTATAGATTTAGAATGACCTGAAATCTGATATATGAAAATTGGCTCTGTTATTTTGCTAACAAGAAGTTGACAATAAACTATACACATTACAAGATGTAGTTTGAAGATATTTTTCTTGATATTTTAAAATGTATTAGTTTAAGTTAAGTTTGAATTTAACATTTCAACTCTTTGATACTTCTTTAATGAAAGTTTATATTATCCTCTTTATATCAAGAATGATTTTTTTCAGCTATCAAATATTGTTTTCCTTTTTTTTGGCATCTTGCAACTTTTTTTTCAAATGTTGCTGGACTTGGTGAGAGCTGGTAGAAAATAAAACTTAAAAAAAGGGGAGCTGAATATTACTGATTATTTGAAAATTTTATTTCAAGACAAATTCATTCCTGTTATTATATATTAGACAGGATATCATATACACTTTGAAGTTTTAGATAGTTTTACAGTTGTTAGAAATTGAGATGATATGCTTATATACTTGTTGTATGAATAAGATATTCCGCTGAGTTGATACATAAAGTTATCAATGAAATTTGAAAAAAAAATGTCATTGTGTTATTTACATTCCTGTTTACATACAAACTTTGGAATAACTTATAGTCATCTAGTTTCTGAAATGGTGAATTTCATGTCCATTGATAAGCATCATTTCAGGCAGATTCAACCAAGTTTAAGATTATTTTTTTTCAGCAGATTTTGCCTCTATTTATAATAAAAACAATATTCCTTTTGAGGGAAATAGTTGTGCCTAGTTGTGAAAAGGGAAGTAATTCAAATTAAGAAATGAAGGGAATAAAATTGAGAATGGAAATGGGGAATGTGTCATAAAGACAACAACCCGACCATAGAGCAGACAACAGCCGAAGGCCACCAATGGGTGTTCAATGCAGTGAGAAACTCCCGCACCCGGAGGCGTCCTTCAGCTGGCCCCTAAACAAATATGTATACTAATTCAGTGATAATGGACGTCATACTAAACTCCAAATTATACACAAGAAACTAAAATTAAAAATGATAAAAAAGTATGTCCAGCTATCTTGAAGCTTTTGATTTGTATTTTATCAACAGAAAGCTGACCGTGCAAGACCCTCATGGGTAGTCAAGGTCTTTAAAAACCCCTCTCCTGGTTGTATTATATTTTAAATGTACTTTACAAATGTATAATTAAATAGCACTATAAAAGATAAGAATGATCACCATGATCAATTTTTTTTCTAAAGGTAGATAAAGGAATGCTTTGATTTCATGGTTATTTGCCAACAAAAATGATTTATGTATATAGGTAATTGGTTAACACTACCTAAAAAGCTTGAGTTAAAATAGATCTATACTTGCAGAAGTCAAAACACATCTTTTACATATATTTTATTTTGAGAGAAATAGCCCAGAGTGGAAAAAGGGAAGTAATTCAAATTAGAAAATAAAGGGAAGTAAGTCCAGCTGTCTTGTAGCTTTTGACTCTGCTTTCATGTTTTTTAAACATTTTAAATGTACTTTACAAATGTATACTTAAGTAGCACTATTAAAAACATATGAATGATCAGCATGATCACATTTTTACAAAACATTTTAAAGGTAGAAAAATGAATGCTTTGATGTTAATGTTTTTTTCAGAAAAAAATATGAGTTAAGTAGACTGGTAATGGGTTGATAATATTTTAGTAGCTTCAGGTGAAATAGATTATCCATTAGATATATAAATCAAAATACTATTTTTTTTACCGGATTAAATATAATATTGATGTAAATAGTAAACATGCTGTTGGGTAATTGTTATTTTTGATCAAATTGTAGGTCATTTTCCTTCTTAAATATACAATATTTTATTTTGTTTATAAGGAATGTAGAAAAATTTTGTTATTGTTTCTGTTTTTGTCCTAGTTTTATGTATACTAGAACACACCCGCGAAATCGTGGGCATTTAGAGCGTGGTTGAAAGTATATAAACTGTAGTAGGATGAATTTTTGTAAAAGATTTTATGACTGGAGAATTTCAGGAAAGGTATCAAAAGTCATAGGTACTGCGACAGGACAATATTTTCTAGCCCGCTCCCTTTTTTCAAAGTCCTTTATTTTTTTGTTTTCTGTTAATTTCAATTATTTTCGTGTTTTTTGTATACTATGAACATACATAATTGTTTATTATAAATAAAGTGTATTTGCTATTTACTATCAATTCCAACTTTATCATCCACTGCGGTCACTGATATATTATATAGAGAGTCTCTATAATTTATAGTAGTATGATCGTAGTATACATGCAGATAAACGCGAAAATAATTGTCCTGTCCCCCAGTGCTTATGAAAATTATGTGTAATTTTAAAACAGTCCTAAACGGAAGTCTTGTCTATGACTTAAAAGTCCGTCCGATGATGGAATCAATATCCGGACACCTTTATTTTCGTTTTTCTCCCAAAATAACCCAAACTGAATAATCATTAGAATAGATGACAAATGCGACTATGCATGGTACCTATAGGACACAGAGGCATGATGATTAATTTATTGTGGAAGGAAGAGAAGTGACACACAAAATGAGGTCTTCTCATTAATAGTATAGATTGTAAGATCAGATTTAGAATAGATCAATGTAGTCACAGACATTGATTCAGACTATATTAATTGAGAAAATATTTTTTGTTCAAATTGTACTTGAAAACAACAATTTTTAAAATGAGAACATATTCTTTTCTTTAATTAATTGAAAAAAGCATACCTTACTTTTACTCAATCTTTACTTAAAATAATTTTTTTCTCAGTGATCTTAGTGCCAGTTTTTTTAGTACCATAATACTTCATTACAAACCAAGGTCTTGAATCCAACCCTTGATTCTTAAAATAGATGCTAAAATGCAGTACTATTCTTGATGTGATAAATTTATTGTCGTACAGTGTTGTAACTTCTGATGACAAAAATTTCATTCTTTGGGACAAAAACTATATAAGAATATAAGAAAAATTTGGCTAGACTTGAGAAGACGGAAATAATTTTGATATCATAAACAAATAGAATCAGTATTAACAACAGATACAGTGACACCATTTAGTATTTAAACCATGACAAGATCTTGTTAAGAATTCAACAATGAGCAAATATGATATGCTGTCATCCATTCTTACCTTATTGCGCATACAATATCCTGCCAGGTGAATAGGTTCAAGTCAATTTCCCTGTTTTGTTATATAATATTTGTACAATAGATTTTCCAATACTGATTCCAGTAAAGCAAAATTTGCATTTGAAATTAATTTTGACTAAATTGTGCAATCAAAATTACATTTTCAAGTAAAATCAAGAGTCGAGCCTTGCAATAAATTTTCAATTTAGGAAATGAATTTTAACCTTAATGCAAATTTTAAAGTATGTAATAAGATATCGTGCATCTGTCTGAAAGGTTCACATGAATTAGAACTTTGACTAAGATTCTGAATTAAATTAGTGATTTTTTTCAACCAAAGTGTACAATATGAAAATAAGAAGATGTTGTATATGATTTCCAATGAGACAACTCTCCACCAGAGAAGAAATGTGGTAGAAGCTAACAACTATAGGTCATCGTAAGATTAAGAGAAAATTAATTTTAGTCTTAATGTGAACAACTTTTATTCATATAAAACTATGTATATAACATTACATATAGTATTTTAATGATGCACTACATGTATAAGCTTTAATAAACATGTAATGATTAAAGACTAAATAAGTACATGTCTTGAAGTACATGTAACTAAACATGTTTATTTTAAGCTCTGAAAATATCCT